AAGCACAGCCCCAGCCCAACCCCCCTATTGGGAAGAGCCCAACACTGCCCCTGGCCCCAGACCGCAGTGGCAGTCTACCCTTGTCCCATGCCCAAATCCGGGGGGCACCCCCCCATGCCTCCACCGGAGGTGCACACAGTGGCAGGAGCCACCCCCCCCACACCCCCCACCGGATGAGTCGCTTATGGTTCTGTCCCACACCCCACCACGGCAGGGCAGCACCTGCACCAGCCCCAGCCCTCCCTCACCACGGGGGCCTCAATCTGCCTCCCCCCCACCCCATCCCTTCCCTCCTCCCACCCCTTCCCTCCCAAAAGACTTACCAGCTGGACACTGCTTTCCAAGCTGCTGGGCTGCATATCGGCAATCAGATCGGTATCTGCCAATATGGCTCATTAATAATCAGCCATTGGTATCAGCACAAAAACCTCTGTCAGTGTACCCCTACTGAAAAAATATTCTTCCAGAAGGCCACAGGCCATGAATTGAAAAAATAACAATGCAAGCTAACGGTACTTTTAAAAGAAGTCCAAACTACAAAACACATTGATCATCAAAGCTGCTGAAAGTTAAAAGTCATTGTAAGTAACTTAGAGAAACTAAGTAGCAGAACCGGCTGTAATTTTTTAACACAAAGGATTTCATCAAAGTAAGGCCTCTCTCACAGGAGGAAATGCTAATGAAGCTTTCTTCTTAATTTTTTTTTTTGGCTAAATCAAAACCCACATGTTATGTTTATTCCATTTTTCCACCCCTCATCTCCTTTTACTCACTTCTTAGGTTTCCTTTGGGTTTTCTTTTGAAAAATGGTTGAAATCCTGTGCTATTCTCTAATCATTTTTGCAAACTAAATTGTTTCAAAAGAATGACAAGGTGCTTTTTGTTTTAAAAAAATAGTCCATTCAAACTCTGCAGAAGAAGAATATATATTTTTTAATTTGCATTATTGCCTCCTACGTTTCAGCAAATATATTTTGCTCCTGGCTTTAAGTTGTGGCAAATCAGATTTACATTAGATCTCAGGAAAAAACTTCCTTACTGTTAGAACACCAAGGCAGTGGAATAAACTGCCCAGAGAAGTTGTGCAATCTCCTTCAGAACAGGGTAGTTATGGAAGATCTTGTACAAATTGTTCAATTCACTTTACAAATCTAGCTGCAAAATTCTGCAACTGACAAGCATAATAGAAAGGAAGAGATTAAACACCAGTCACCAATGAGTTAAAATAATCACATTTGAAAGATGCCACGGCATAAACCAACTTCCCTAGTGCTCCTCAAAGTTAACCCTGAAGATATTTCTCACATGGTGTTAAGAACTTTTGATCCTTGTGTTGATACACTCATCTAGTAAAAGTCTAGAGTGGAAATCAGCAGTCCTGTTTATAACAAGAGGGATCACACTATCAGAGCCCGTTTTACCCCTTAAAAGAGACACTGGTTACACCTACATGTGATATTATTATGATATAATAAATTCTGGTGCAGTTCACGCCAGAATTTATTGTTCCCAGATGCAGTGTTTACATGTGCGCCCAGGACTGCAGCACATTGAGCTGGGGCAGTCAGCCTGCCAGCCTGGAGCTGCTCAGTCCTGGCTTACTGTGCTACGGAGGGTGAGGCTAGCCATCCCGTGTCTCCATCTACACATACGCTGTGGTGGAGTAAATAACTCTGCTGTAGAATAACACTTGTGTTGGGCAGTACTGTCCTATGGTAGAGTTCATTATTTTATTCCGGCCTAATAGTACTACACATGTAGATGGTGACACTTTAATGCAGAGTTAATTAGTCAACTCCACAGTAAAGCATCTCATGTAGATACACCCAGTGTCTCAGAGGCAAATTAAACAGCAAATCTGCTTTTCCAACACTGATCTTAAATAATTTAGTTGCCTATACCTAGACCTCAGACCAATAGGAGAGAAGCATCAGCTGGTATGCAGACAGGTAAGGCTAAGCATCAGCCACATAAAGTGGTTAACGCCACATCTCTGGAGAACTTGGCTGAGGTGATAAAGAAGAGAATACAGAGAACATCTGCCCAAAGGAGTTAAAATAGGCCTTACTGAAGGCACAGCTGTCCAATATAACATACAGTCACCTCAAGAGTGAAATCAAATTGGGGTCATCCTAAACATCACAACTCTACATGCTAGTTATTCTAATAATAAGCAGATGGTTCACAAGATTGAAACCAGCAAACCAATCCAACTGCCAGAACAAGGGAACTAAATCCTCTTCCTGGAATCTTCCTGAAATCACTCCAGACCTAGAAAAAAGCAGATTCCGTTCTGAAATATGGTTAATCCAGATAGAAATGTATCTTGTGCACCATTAGACAGCAAACAACATATTCCTTTCACCAGAACTGCCACTGTACTTTTCAAGACTGTTGTGAAGGAGGGAAAAGTTGAAAAGCAACAGTCACTTGATTCTAGTGAAGATCCCACACTTTATGGGGTAGCAGATAAATTGCTGAAACACATCAAGTCCCGAACGCGTGACGAAGGATAGCTACTATAGTTGGGGGGAGTTGGGACCGAGCATGAAGACTCGATTCTCAAAACCCTGCCATTCACTCACTGGGCATCACTGGACAAGTCGCAAATTTATGGTTTCAATTTCTAACATGTAAAATAGGGACAATAATACTTTCCTTACAACCCCATTGTAGGTTTAATTGCATACACATTTTCACATGTTCTATGGATGGCAATTGCCATAAGTGCTAAATATTGTTATGCCAACAAGCATGAACAGCGTGTGCCCCTGGTGGCTGGGGGAGCACAGCTGCGGCGGCAGCAGGAGCCTGGTGGCGGTGGGAGTCTGGCAGTGGTGAGTGGGGAGCTCCCACAGATGCCACCAGAACTGTTGGCGGTGGGGGGTGGCGAGCGCTGACCACAGGTCGGCGACCACCCACAGGCACCAGGGGCAATCATGGACTGCAGGAGCCACTGACAGTGTTAGAAGCAAGAAACCTCTATACCTATCTCCTTGACACTTTTTGCAGGGGTTGCACTGCCACATGCAGGGGATGCATGTGCACCCGTGTGCACCCCCGACATGTCGCCCCTGCCAACAAGTCCTCTTCTGAGCCCAGTTTGAAAGCTCTTGCTTCAGCCATGTCCAGGGAGCCAACTCCACAAGAGGCAAGAAAATAATTGTAACTCTACTTCCTATAGTTTGGACTTGGTAATAAACTGATGTTTGCTGAAAACCAGACTCTGGTTTGCTCCATAAGTTAAGGCCTATCCAGGAACAATGGGCTGTGCTTTGGGTTTGTAGCTCACAATTAATTCCCCATAACCCCCCAACCTGTTTTGGTGCTTAACTGAGAGGATGTTATACAGCTCCTGGCAAAGCAAGATTCTGCCAACTGTCCCAAAACTACATGAGCTCCTGGCACAACCACTGGTGTAAACATGCGACAGGCACACAATGAACAACATTCTATCAGTGTAAGTTATTTTAATCCAGTGTAGAATTACCCTAGGGAAAATCAGGAGTAAAATCACATGGGTGTTGGTGTCAATTGTCTGCTTCTACCCTGAGATAACTATTTGCACAATGCAAACTAGTTATTAGATGTCCCACTCCACTGCTACCCCCCCCCCTAATTTCCTCATTAATAGGCTAGAGGCACTGATTCAGAAGGCCATTTTTAGCAATGCTCTGCTCTCCTGGGCAGCCAGAAACTAAATAGGGTGTTTGAAGGAGGAGAGGGGCACAAAGGAATGGCAACTCTGAGCCAGCACCAAAACTTTTACAGGCTGAAGCACCTCTCAGCTGTCCCCATCAAGGCTGCAGAGGCACAAAACCCATTTTGACATGGAACTTCTCTGGTCAACTTCTGTGTGGTTTGTGACTCTTCCTGGGCCTATAAGGCATGGTCTGATGGAGAGGGGCCGACGATTAATTCTTGGCAAACAGAAAAGGTTGGTGTTAGTTGCTGAAGATGCTAGAGACAAAGAGATATTAAGGACTAACTGAAGCAGAAACATTTCCAAAAATTTGCAGGGTTTAGCTGCATCCTACCTGCCTGCTTGCAGGACACCTGATATGCTGAAGAGCCCAAAGTCCGTGATCACCACCTTTCCGTTGTCATAGAACACGTTTTTGGACTTGAGGTCTTTGTGAAGGATCCCTTTTGCGTGCAGGTACCCCATGCCCTGGAAGGAAGGAAGGAAGGAAAGGAAAAAGGAACTGAAAGGGAGGCATAAACAAGTTGAATAGTATAAGTCCTCAGGAGAAACACCAGCCTGGGTTCAAGGTGTTTCCTTGAGGAGATGGAACAATAAGAACAGGAGATGGCAGTGCTAGTCTCTCTTCCCTAAAAGTACATCTTTAAAGAAAAGACTTTGATAGCCCTCTGATGGTCTGGGTAACTCATCAACATTAGTTCTAATATGGCCTGGGCATAAAATCCCTTAGACAGGTCTGAAAGTTTGGCCTGAGGCTTCTTGATAACGTAAGGGGATATTCCCTGTAGAGCTAACTCGGTTAGGGGAGACATCATGCAACAGTCACTCCGTCAGGGGACTTAAGATGCCACTTACTAAAAGGGTCTGGATCATCTAATGCAGAGCTATACAACTTCTGGTGCACTCTCCTGCTGGAACAAGCACATGGATGTTCCCTGCTGCACCCTGCACATGGGCACACAGCTTCCTGACCACAGGCTGTGCTGATGCACTGTGCCAGCCCCATGCCATGGGCTTCACTGTCACTGTGGGCTGTGCCAAGCTTCTCTGACCCATTCCCACGGGCAGGGAAGGAAGTAGAAGCCAGAGGGAGGGAGCCCAGAGCCTCCAGGTGCTACTGTTTCAGCAAGAGTGATGGAGGAAGTGGTGGCCAGGTGGGAGCTTGGGGGCCACAAATTAACTCCTCATGGTCCATATGCAGTCCGGTGGCCACCAGTTGGACAGCTCTGGCCCAATGGAAAAAGCAGGGAATGAGAAGCAGCAAATTTAGGATCTATCCCCAGTACTGCATATGCCTGGCCTTAGCTTATCAGTTTGCCACTGTTTCAGTTTCTCCCTCTAAAATAAGGATGATGATGATGATGATAATTCAGGAGCTCAAAGCGGTGCCGTGAGGATCATTTAATGTTTACAAACATACAGCTGTGAGATCTTTGGGTGGGTGCTTATAAGGCAGAGTGAAGTTCTATTAGTATTTAGTGACTATTTGTTAAATAGGTGCTGACTTCTTCATCCTAATTAATTTACTGTGCAGAAAAAGTAGCAGCAAAACAGAGCATTAACTTTCCTATAACTGCAGACAAACTAATGATGATTTTATATCACATTGTTTTGAGGTTGGGAGCATTAGGGTAATAATTTAAAGCCCTCCATTGCCACCATTATGTTCCCTGACTGAATCAATAATGTTTCCCTGTGTCCACATCATACTATTAATCTAGAGATAAGAGCCATGTAGCAGGAATCGGGAGTCTCAGCTTAACTTTTTCCCCTATTAAAAGCTATGTGGTAGTAAATTGAGATTAGTGCTATTGATGTAAAGGAAGATGCAGGTGGGAAATCCAAAGTCACCTACATTGGACAGACTTATTTAGGATTGTTAAACCCAGGTCACAATAGGGTGGCTTTTCTGACTGACTCTTGGGCCAAGATGTTTGACTGTAATGAAAACACCAAAAGAAACTGCACTCTGGAAGGCCTATCACAGGGCCTATCACAGGGTGCAGGTGGATGAGATGACTGGTCCCATAAGGAATCTCCGAGCAAGAAGAGACTTATCACTTGAGTCCATAACCAAGGTGAATGGAGGAGCGGCCAGCTGCTTCTCCGTGAAAACGTTCCTATTCTGCCACTCACAGCCGATGAACACAGAGGGGTCAAGCTAAGGCATACATGATTTTGTGGTCTGTCCTGTAAAAGCAAGGACAGAGGCAGGACTGTTGGGTCTTATTCCTGTTTATACTAGGTACGTGTCAGGTGAATGGCTTTCTATAGTTCAGTTTCCCCATCTGCAGAAGGCCTTCTTCTAACCCACAAAGCTGGGAGGCCAGTGCTAGCAAGCAGCCTTCTGGGGTGCAGGTGCAAGGTGGAAAGAACGAGTCAAATTTGTGTTGGTGGTGAAAAACTCAGAGGTTTATTGTCACTTAGAATGTAGACTAGCTGGTTGGTTTAGCATTCAGCTCAACTCAGTAAAACTGCCTGGGACAACAGTAGCAACACTATGCATCAGTTAAGCACCCCTCCCTTTCTACAAGAAACAACTTGTGCAGTACTTCTATTTACCCCCCAAATACCCAAGTGTTCATGCCAATGCTTACCTACTTTTCTGTTTAGAAATCCATTTCTACTTTTCTTTTTGCCAAGTTCATACACCTGGGATCTTCATTTCTTCTTATTTTGGCACTTGCCCTCAATGTTATTTTGCTCCTAACCTTCCCTTTTTTTGGACCAGCTTCTCTGCTCATTAGTGTTTTCTTTTTTATATATTTCTTATTAGGTCATTCAGCCTCTGCCCATTCTTCCCAAGCTCCCTTTTGAAGCTTTAGTTTAACCCAGGCTTGGCATAACCAAAACTCCTGCAATGGCAATATCAACTAAGATCCTATCCAGGAAACACACACATGTACAATGTTAGACTGACCAAACAACTTCCCAATGGCCCTTGTGGCAAACATTAGCTATCTTAAGCCCTCGCTACCTAAGGTGTTCATTATAGCCCAGCTCCCAGGGGGGCAGTCTGCAAAACTTCCACTGCAGTCCTCAGGAATTTACCATAACATATGTTGGACAAGCATGATGTACACAAATGCAGGGTGGAGGAAGCAGCCCCCTGATTTATTCTACACTCAGAAGTTTTGCTGGCAGAACTTTTATTCATACACAAAGCCCATAAGCCACAGCAGGCAAAACCCTCCACTCTTCTGGCAAAGTTACTCCATCTCTGCCAAATGGTCTAAGATTTCTACTGCTGTCTGGCAGACTTCTGAAGGCACATAAAGGCACTCCTGTTTTATCAGCCAGCTGCTATGGTCCCTTCAGCATCGGGTGCCCTTTCAGAGGGCATTTCATACCTGGTAGCCCAGCAGCTTCCGTGGAGCCACATGAAGCCACCATGTGAGTGTGCACATGCTCCAGCAATTTGGTGGTCGTGCCTGTTGGCTGGTGTCAGGCATTCTGCTACTGTGCAAGATGCCTGCACTCAACATTTTCTTCTTCCGTGGGGCCTTGCATTTGCGTGAGAGGCTTTGGAACTGGAACTCTGGAGCTGGTCACAGCTTGGAGGGGGATGCAATAATTGTATGCTGAGTTTACAATAGCAGAGGTCATACGCTAAGTCAGTGCTTAGCTCCTGGGTAAGCTTGCACACACACCATTGTCACCCTGTTCCTCTGCCATGTATGTGTTTATGACAGGCAGTATATTTCAATGAAAGGAAGAGGTGGTTTTGCAAAGCCCAATTATTTATAGCCTCCTTAGCAGCTAAAAAGTGCCTATAGGAAAAACAAAGATGCTGTATGCATAAAAATTAAGAGGGCCCCATTCAAACAGGCTGTTTTCTTATTGTGCACAAGGGGTGTGGTATTTCAGATACTTCCCAAACCCAAGGACAAGGACAGGCTAGCCAAGGACAGGCTAGTGGAGTTTGGTGGGAGCCAAACTCCACTTTCAGATACATGATTCATGGCATCTCATGGGAGGACCTGCCTCTTCATGGCTTATTTGCTCTGGCAACAGGTTGAGACTTGAGGACTGCAGTTTAGAATGAAGGAATTTATCCAACTTGTTGATTAAGATACTTCTCTACAATGAGATAAAGGCCTGCACTGGTAGGCAACCTCTTGGCCAAGCCCAAATTTGTAACCTCTCCCCAGTAGTTTTTATGCCAGATTACATGCCACCTCCCCATGTCTGCCTGTGCATCAACAACAATCCAGAAGATAAAACTTTGTGGAGCCCTACGCTAATTGGCTCCAGCTTCCTATATATATAAAAAGTCAGCTCCCTCTGCTGGCTCAGCTTCTTAGACAAATAGCTTGGCTTGGCTAAATAGCATCACGATATAAGAGGAACTCTTGCATCCAATAGTCCAATAAACCTAAAGGATCTTTAGTTAGCTAAGGCTGCTAAAAAGATAAAGTCATTTGGTTGCTGTGATTGACACAATCAGGATTCCTGTCTGGCCTTGCTCTCACCTATCCCTTTCCTCTCGACTAAGGCTGCACTCTTTCCTTGCTTGGACTGGCTTGGTGCCCAGGGTGGATGCCCCACACAGGGAAAGCGGTGACTTCCAGTTGCTGCTACCACCATAATCACAATAGTGCAGCTGCAGCTAAAGCTGTTATTTTCAGCCCCCACCCTTGTTGCCCTGCCCTAATTACACTACTGGGCCAAACTGTAAGAAATGCCAAGCATGAAAGGTTTGTAGATAATAGCAAGTTGCTGCCCTGTCCAGCTACAAAGCTGCCACAGAAAACTAGTGCTGGTTTAGAAAGAGATGTGCTTTCTTCTACAAGCTGAACTGGACAAATGATCCCAGCCTCGTAGTGATGAATCTCTGGTGTGGAATGCTGCCAAAGTAGCTAAGAAGTACTATATGCTCCCCTCAGACTAGACAGGAGATGAAAGGAAAGCTTGGGAAGGGCAGTAACACTCCCTCTCTTCTGCTAATTATGCAGTGGAATAAGTCAATTAGGATCAGTAAAGAGGAACAGGTGATATTCCCTCCTGCCCTTGGGGAGATGCCCATAGTATACACAGTGCACTCTGCCCCTGAAAGCCAAGGGCATGAGGAAGTGATCTGCTGTCCCTCATCCCAAATACAAGAACAATTTGGTGCTGGTGTGTGGGGATGGCAGGGTATCTTAAAACCAGCCCAGGAAAGAAAAGTTTATAAACAAATGAGTGTAGGACTTCACCAGGACTGTACAGATACCTTGATACTCTACACACCTGTAAAGTAATGTGTAGCCACTATCTAGTTTGGTTTGTATCAGAATCTGGACAGAGGACACATGACTAGCAGCAACTGTAATCAAGGACAAAGGGTGTGTTAGTTCACTGACGTTCTCTGGAAGCTACTGGTGCTGGGCATCTGAGAGCCAGACCTAGATATTTAGGGCTTTTAACCTGCTGGAAAGGCCTCTGAGATCATCATATCTAGTCATTTGCTTCCACAGGCCACTGCATCATTGAATCTCTTCCATAAACTGATTAATCATTATCTTAACTTTTTTTTTTTTTTTTTTTACAAGGTGGGTTTCAGTGTGAAGCAACCCACTTCGTACTCTATGAGGCAAGAGAAAGCAGGGGAAAGGAAAGGTTGATGAAGTTGGAGAAGAAAGAAAAACAGGGTCCAAGAAACTGTCCACATATGTTAAAAATAAAAAGAAAGTGCTTTAACAGGCGCCAGTGGCATTTACAACTTGTATTTCTAGCTGTCGCTCTTTCTACACAAAGATGTGGTCCCTATTATTTACCTAACCTCTGTGAAAATATTTCAGCTTCTTCTAAAAGATTTGCTTGTATCCCCTAATTGAAGGGGCTCAAATTAATCCCCAGTGCAGTGGTTTCCAACCTTTTTTTTCCACGCCCCGGGGGTGGGGGCAGGGGAGCTCCCAGCACGGCTCGTCTTTTCTGTGCAGTGCTGCCGGTATTGCCCTTGCAACCTTCATTTGGGTCATGACCCGGGGTTGAGAACCGCTGCCCTAGTGCATACAGCAAAGGGGCAGCATTCAGAGAGGATTCTCAGGTAGGCTTGAAGGACTCAAAAGCACGTGCCAGACCATTTCAAAGAAAATGGACTAAATCAAGACACGACCTCCTGCCAAAAACCTTTGGGAGGGAGGAACCTCTTGTCTAAGTGTAATGTATCTGACCATAAGGAATAGAGCAGTGGCAATTAAAAAAACAAGCAAAACCTCACAGACCTGGACCTGCCTTTGATGTACCAGAGGTCTGCCTTGTGAGAGAAGCTTATGCTAAAAAAGGACAATCATAGTAATAGGAATAGGAAAAGGAAAAAACCCAGAGTTCTCCTCAGGAAGCATGCTGCCAAACAGAATGCACTGCTTCAGGACGCATGCCCCAGCGTACACCTAGGATTCATCCCGACACTGGATGCCATCATGCATATTCAAAAGGAACCTATTCTGCCCATTAGAACATCGCCACGGGGGCTCATAAGGCACCCCCATCTGGAAGTGTGCTGATACAAGTGCCCAGAGTGCACCCCATGGCGTGTGCTGCTCATGCCCCCAGAAAGGGCTGAGGAACTGTTGCTATGCACAGAGGAACTGAACCTGGTGGTAGGGACTCTGTACACCTATAAGGGGCTGGGAGCAGGGCAGAATGATGCTGTACAGACCTAGAAGTACCCTAAGTGCTGGGGCTGCTGTTCAAAGCAGCACATCCTACTGTAAAGAGGTCTGTTCTGTGCCACCACCTTAAACAAATAATCATGTCTCTCTGTTGTCTCCCACCCCACCAACCTGTGCTCCATGCCCATCACATACAGCCACTGTGGGATTCCCCCCTTACAGCTCCATGGGAAAAATATAAGGGAGAGTTCAGTAAGGCCCTCAGTGAGAGAGACCACCCCACTCATCAAGGCACTTCAACATATCCTTAACTGTAAGCACCTGTGTAAATCCCATTGACTCCAATGGCATTTAATGAGGTGCTTTAAAAAAAAATCAGTGTGCACTAAAGAGTGATTAATCCAACACTAAATAAACATAAAGTAGGGAACGATATATCAAGGGGACACATTGTAAACAGTCAGGAAATGAAAAGTCATGATCCTACAATAACTTTGAATGTACTGCTTTATGATTTGTGTTTGAATGTTCAAACTGATATATGCTCTACACGGAAAACAGAAATAAAAATGTTCCAATGCACACAGTGCAACAGAGTCCACATTATGCTAAGAAACTTCAAGTTTCTCATCTCATGACATTTTTGCAAAGCTGTGGAAATGCAAAGCTACACAGAGACAGTTTTTACATTCTGGTTCCAAGGGTTGGATCATCAATTTTATTTTAATTTTAAAGTGAGGCCTATATCTATCATTGGGAGTATGGTGTGCTTTTAAGCGTGAAAGGAACAAATACCAGAGCTGAGCAGAAAACAGTTTTCTTATCCCATAGGAATTTAAAGTTTGGAATATTTTTCCTGCCCCAAGTTGGGATGAACAATCAACATATCTTAAATTTCAAAACATACAATCATTAAAAACATCATTACAAATTTAAACAATTACAAAAGAATGCTTTGAAAATTCAGACACTTCTTCATTTTCTTCATAATGGAAAATGTGTCAAAACTAATCCTTCCTGACGACCAGTTTTAATTTCAAAGAAGTAGTATTTTCCAATGAAAAATATTTTGTTAAGCAATGCCTGACCGACCGGTCCTGGGAAAAACCTCAGAACAGCATGTGAGAAATGATAGGTGTATTAACTAGTACCTCTCCACCTGGTTATAAGAGTCTGTTTTCCTCCAGCTCTGTCTGTGTACTCAAGTGCTCTGCACATGCACACAAATGCTAACACAGACTAGGGCCTAATGTCATTAGGCACTGGCCTTCTGTTCTATGTCATCAGGACTCAGCAAAAGGGGGAATTTTCACCAGCAGTTATGTAAATTAAGCACCTCTGAGAATCTGACACAAGCCACTTAGTGCTCTGGAAGTGCCAGCTATCTTACAGTAAATCCCAATTTTCTTTCAATTTTTTATTACACATTTCCCAGGTGACCTGATGGACACTGGCTAGCCAAGGGTCTCTTAGTGCTTGATGACCTGCTGGGATTACAGCATCCTGACCTAGCCAGCTTGCTCCAGTCAATGGCTTTAGCCAATGGATGTAAGAAATGCACACAGAGAAAAGAAATATGCACGTGCATCTTTCTGGAAAGGAAATTTGATTTGATATTTTATTTTGCTACAGATACGCAGTATGAACGTTCAAAATATTTAGAACTTTCTCCGACTCATTTTCCCCTAGTTTGACCATGGCTGTGATCCTGACTGAGGACTATATAGCCATGTTACAACTGTCAAAGTGGAATTGAGTTTGAAGTCATATAGCGATTTATATAACAGGAAAATTCCTGTACACACACAGACATATCTTTGCCTCATAAGTAGTAGTAGCAGCAAGCCTAGCTGGGGATGCAGCCCAGTCTGCAGGGAGAGGACTGCCTCCCCCAGGGAAACCCCAGCTGGGGTCTGGAGCCAGGGAGGGGAGTTAAACAACCCTTCCCCTGCTCAAATTTACTGCTGGCTGCAACTGTGGACTACAAATCCCAGAGTCACCATGAAGTTGGAAGAGGAGGTGATGAGCAACCCTGCAGAGTCCTGCTGCTGTAATTCTGGACTGCAAATCCTAGAGACCTTGTGGGCAGCAGGAAGAGGAAGTGAACATACAGCCAGAGGGCCACGCTCTACCACACTCCCCCCCTCCGATTCTTGCCTGAGCCGCTGCAGGCACGTAGCTGCATGTCCTGAATCAAAGGTAAATGTCTGTTCACTTCTGTTTCAATGTAATCTGTGCATCTTAGACTAACCTGCAGACTAAATCAATTCAGCCTCAGGCTTTTTGAGTGTCTGTGCCTAGTCCCAGAGACAGGGTTCAAGAGGTCTGCAGGGTATAATGGGGTGTTGTATTAGTCCCTCTATGAAGGGCTTGAGTTTCACTCCCTGTGCCCAAGATGCCCACATGCCATACTGTACCTTCACAATCTCTTGAGCTATCTGCCTTGTTTTGTTGACATCCAGGACAATTTTTGCATCCCTCACCACCGAGTAGAGTGTCCGACCTTTACACAAGCTGAAAAAGGAAGACGGGGAGAAAAATAAAGACATTGATACATAACTGCCATCAAGATATGTCACTAAATCCAAACACAGATTAAAAGGCAGAAGCTATAAAAGGGACTAAAAATAGAGACAGTATTTTGGCTTCATATCAAGGCAATGACTACAGGTTTTGGAATAAATCTAAAATCTCTCCCTCCCGCCCCATACTTTGTCATATTGGGAGGGAAATCTTTCTGCTCTCCAGTATATTTAGCTAGCTTCACATTCATCCAGTGGTATACAATAACCCTTCATTTTTTGTTCCCTGTTTCCTAGTTGTGATAAAACCTTCAGGCCTTCTAGCTTCAGACTTTTAAGCAGAACCGTCCATCTGTATCTGCATATAGGATAAAATTCTCTCAGATGTAACATGAACCAGAAGAGGAAGGAGGGAGGGGAAAGAGAAAGAAAAGCCAATGCACTGTACAATGTCCTTCCTTTTGTACCAATTACAGTAAAATCTATTTACAGAGCCTTAATTACCAAAGGCAGCTGGAGGGGGAGAGGGGCATAGAAGCCAATTAAAAATATATTGACATTTGAATATCATAATGGAGTATGTGGGTGGATTCTGCCTCGACTTCCTCCCACAAAAAAAGGGCTTTTTTCCCTTCTAAACCCACCTACACTCATTACAGGCAACTTGAGAAATAACAGACTAAATACCTGTGCCTGGATAATAAACCATTTAAAAAAAACCAAAAAACAGAAAACCTCCATTTAAACAGGCTTCAAGAATCACAGATGTTAATTTGATCTTATTCCAGTTAATGAAACAAAAGTTGTTGCTTTTAATTACTCCTCACTCCCACCCACATCATCCTTTCTCCTTTATCGACATTGGAGTCAGCAGCCTGATATTTGGGCATCAATATCAAAAACTTCTAGATGGCATTCTTAGTGGAAATGTTTGCCACACTACTATTGTTTGGAACAGATCTCAGTATGGTGCACAGGCTTGCCTTGTACAATAGTCAGGGCAAGTAACATGAAACTTCATATCTAATCAATCTATATCACTTAATGTCTCATTTGGAGCACTATGGGACATGGACGCACCAGTAGGCCTGCAAAATGAAAGGTCTCAGAGTCTGGCTTCTGAGGCAAGAGAGGTAGTCAGGATGTGAAAACTTCACAGAAAATGACTGCTTGCATCTTAAGACCAGTTAGACAAAGGAGTAACAAATGGGTCCAAAGAAATGCAAATAGTAAATCCAACACCCTTAACCAGGGAATGCAGAGTGGAAACTCCAATGCTACATTTCTGAGCAGCAGGAAGCTCAGCCACAGCAGCTGTGAAGAGTATCACATTGGGTCATTTCATCAGAGGGCAAGGTCACCTGGATTCAAGTCTCAATTAGAGTTGAAGCACAGTCAATCACTGTATAGGAAGCCCCAGATCAGTCAAGTTTCCTAGGGAATGGGACAGACCCTTTTATTCATGTAGGTTTTATGGTGGGCAAGATGCTGATGTTGTTTTTTCTCTTATTATCACTGAGCCATGTTATCTTGTATCCCCTGTTACACTGTATCAGACAACAGTACAATACAGAAGAACCCAGATTCTTCCCATGTCAGGTTCCTTACCTCCTGAAAAGGTGAAGGTTGTGAACTGGGGGTATACAGAGCTGCACCAAATAGCTGCATGGAACTACTGAGATGCTCCAGGCTTATTTTGCAGTGGGTTGTGGAATTAAGGACAAGCTATTCAACTGGTGGCTATGGCTTTTGTTTCAAAGTATGCAACTTCTCCTATCACCTGCATGGGACTGCTGATGAGCTCAAGCTGATCAGAGAATAAGTGCCCTTTGAAGCAAAAAGCACAACAACCAACTGAGCAGCTCAGCAGCTTCCTTTGGTGGGTATTAAATTTGATGGGAATTAGGGTATATCAGCCCAGGCAAACCACTATGCTAATACAGCTAAAATGCTTCTGGTACCTGAGAGCTAGCTTGGATATCTCTATACAGCACTAAGATCTCCCTT